CTCTCTACCAATCAACAATCCAAACCGAAATCACCAGTAGTAAAATACCTTGATGTTACCTTATCACACAATTTATCATGGTCACTGCATGTTCAAAACACATTCTGTAAAGTTAGAAAGCTTTCGTATTTCTCACTCCGATTGAGAATACTTCCTGTTTCCCACAATTCGATTGCAAGGTTGTGAATGTATGCATACTCCGAAAGCCTCAGTATAGTTGGGGGTAGGTGTCGCAGGGTTGCGACTGGTCACCATCCCTTGCACCTCATGAAATACTCCTATATGACCAAGCGTCTCAAATAACATCTGCTGAGGAAGCCCTACTCACAGCCTTCTCGTGTTGCGGAGGGTATTTTTTTTACATAAATGAGAAGTAGAAAAGCCGAAATTGGGGACCATAACCATGTCGGTGAAACACTGGCAGTTCACCTATGGGAGGCAGCTAAAAACCCTGATTTTAAACCAACCAAAAAGAGGTGTACGAACCACCGACAACTTTCTGCTCGTGAAACAGGTCATCGGATTGATTTGGTGTCGAGGTGTATTGGGCACCTCGGACGTTTGACCTTGTCCGAAGGATGTATGATCCAATGAACCCGACACTGGACCCCAATGGATTGCGGACTTTCAGTTCCGTCCTGCTGTCTTGTAGGTCAGGTTTTCTAGTCAAAGGCTTGGAGGGGGAGGGGACCCCGAGGTTATCCTCCTTCTTCGGCCAGGGCAACCGGGAAGTAACATGTCTACACAACTTATGAACACACATCATACATTTCCGAAATTTTCGCTCTAACTAACTATGCGCTGTTTGACCGAGTTGTTGGCGGTCGGGTCCACAGACTTCCACTTTGCCACATCAACAGATCACACTCTTTCCCTTCCTCAATTATTGAACTTTCCTATTCTCGGTTTACCGCCCATTATTTCGAGTCTCCAACAGTGTGCTGCTCAAGACCACGGCAGAAACCATAGTCTTGTTCCCACGCGAAAGAAACAAGCTTCCAATCAGGTTATTCCGAAAAAAGTACTCGCGCTCCGGTCGCAGATGAAGTTAGGGACTTTCAACGTTTGAACACTTATGCAAGCTGGGGCTCAAGCAACACTCGCTCGCACACTGGAAACACTTTCTATGGACGTTTGCTACCTTACTGAGATACGGCTACAGGATTCCAGCACCGTA